TTAAAAAATATATACATTAGTGAAATATGTGCAAAATTAAGTTAGATTAATGAGTTAAGTAGAGGTGGACTTTTTAAAGGCACAGTAAATTAAAATTGCCCCGTAACCTTTTCCAGCCCTTGTGGAGGTCCACAATTGTCTCTGGTGTCTTTTGACAGATCTTTGGTCTTGCCCATGGTAGTAGTTAGTGTCTGACTGACTGTGGGGTGGACAGGTATCTTTAAAGAGCTCAGACAGGTGCTACTAAGTTAGATTAATGAGTGGAGTAGAGGTGGACTTTTTAAAGGCACAGTAACAGGTCTTTGAGAGCCAGAATTCTTGCTGTTTCTTAGGTGTTCAAGTACTTATGTTCAGCAGTGCAAGACAAATAAATTCTTTAAAAATCATACAATGTGATTTCCTGAATTTTTTTTTTTAATTCTGTCTCTCAGAGTGGGAATGCACCTACAATGTGAATTTCAGACCCCTCCATGATTTCTAAGTGCGAGAACTTGCAAAATCGCAGGGTGTTCAAATACTTCTGTTCCTCACTGTATTTTTGTTTTTTTTCTTTTGCAAAGGTCAGATGCTTGAAAGACTCCAGAACAGCTGCATGCATTCTAGTACTTGAAGACAAGAGTCAGTTATCATGTAGATTAGATGAAGCCGATATCAAGAACCATAACATTCATGTTTTTCATTATGTGTGTCCTTTAGACTTGAACTGTCCCCACCTACTCTATTTGTAAGTCTTGCATACTGAACAACATGAATTTCTGGAAGAAACCTATTAAGTCTACCTGTTATTACAGTATGGAAAAATAAAAAAAAGATGCATGTGCTGTTGATTACAACAGGAGAGCTTTCCCTCTCTCTGTAATCTGTTGTCTTGGGTGGTCAGTGTGACATACATTACCGTTATGTCATTTTTTTTTAACAGTAAATTTACAGATAAAAAAATAATGGTAACACCATGTATTAGATACAGCACATGTGAACATAGAAAGGTGGATGGTATACAAAGTCCTCAACAATAGTTTAAAAAGGGTGACCATTTCTATCATCAAGATTATAACAGTGGTCATCAACAACAAATATAACTGTTCGTGCTGATGATCACCCAAGGAAAATGCATACACAGGTGTCATACATTTAAAGTGTTACTAAACCCACAACAGTAAAATCAGACTGTATATGCAGTAAAGCATGCTTGTTATACTCACTGTGGAACCTAAGGGGTTAATCCTCCCCATTGTGTAAAAAGGCTGTTTGATCCTGTCTTTTCTGACCTTCCCCTTCTTTTACTATCCTCAATCCATCTGCCATAACATAGAGCAAGTCTGCACATGCTCTTTTTGATGTGCATTGATAGAGAGTTTTTTTTTTGTGAGGGATCCAGTGATCAGCACAGTCAGTCCAGACGGTCAGGAGTCATGCAGCCTCATAGGACAGTCAGAGGAGGATGAAAATTCCTACAAGATTAACCAGTGTTCAGCTGGACACTGATAGAAGTCATAAGACTACTATATACTACTGATGAGAAAAGTTTATATTTACTAAAATAATTGCATTTTCATGTTCTGTGTACTGTGGAAGATCAGATATAGTGAAAGCAGGGTCCTGGGTTTAGTAACACTTTAAGACATCGACACAAAACAACATTTTTTAATCACAATGTGTGCATTCATTGATTTTCATTGTGCTGCATTAAAAAGATATTTGTACCAGAAATATAATTCTAATGCTCTTAGAAAGGTTGTAAGTCTGGATGCCTTATCATGTGTTACAAGTTTGTGTTACTATTACAGTAACAGTAATTTTTCTTTAAAAAATACCCCCAAAACATCCAAAGGTTAATCAGTTGACACTCAAACTAAACTAATGTGTGCCTGATTATAATGCATACATTAGAATAAAAGCCTTGATATATACACTCAACTGCCACTTTGTTAAGTACACTTAGTACCAGGTTGAACCCACTTTTACTTTCTGAGCTGTCTTAATTCTTTGGGCATAGATTCAACAAGGTATTGGAAACATTCCTCAGAGATTTTGGTCCATAGTGACATGAGTTACTGTTGCCTTTCTATCATCTCTCACCAGTCTGCCCATTCTCCTCTGACCTCTGACATCAACAAGGCATTTTCATCCACACACATGTTGCTCACTGGATATTTTCTCTTTTTCGGACCATTCTCTGTAAACCCTAGAGATGGTTGTGCATGAAAATCCCAGTAGATCAGCAGTTTTTGAAATACTCAGACCAGCCCGTCTGGCTGCATTATATAGAACTATTAGAATACTATTAGAATAGTTTTTCATATTTTAGAATGGGGTTCCCTTTAAAATTATGGACAGTCTTGATGCACCTCATTTAAGAATGGAGTGCCTCAAGACTGTCCGTCATTTTAAAAGTCCGTCATTTTAAAGGGTGCCTCAGGACTGTCCATCATTTTAAAGGGTGCCTTGACTGAAAAAAGGTTGGGAGACGCTGCTCTAGAGCAACTGCACTTGCAAAATACACGCTCTACTTGCCTTTAGTAAATCAACCCCAGTGTCTCCCTATCTTTGTATGGATATTAATGAGCATTTATAATCCTCCGCACTGGATGCTTATCAATACAGTACATCAAAGTTGCTCAGCCAAAAATGACATTTAACCATTTCAATACCGGGCACTTTTACCCCTTCCTGCCCAGGCCAGTTTTCAGGTTTCAGCGCAATCACACTTTGAATGACAATTGCGCGGTCATACAACATTGTACCCAAACTAAAATTTTATCTTTTTTCTTCACACAACTAGAGATTTCTTTTGGTGGTATTTAATCAGCACTGGGGTTTTTATTTTTTGCTAAATTAACAAAAAAAAGACCAAAAATTGTTGAAAAAAAAAACACGTTTTTCTTTGTTTCTGTTATAAAAGTTTGCAAATAAATAATTGTTCTTCATAAATTTAGGCCGAGATGTATTCTGCTACATGTCTTTGGTGAAAATAACCCAAATTAGGATGTATTTTTTAGTTTGTAGGAAAGTTATAGAGTTCATAAACTATGGTATAGATCTGAAAATTGATAAATCCTGAAGTACTGACGCCAATCTAATTTCTTAAGGTCCAAGAATGTCAGAATAGTACAGATATCCCCAAATGACCCTTTTTGCAAAGTAGACAGTCCGACGTACTTCATAAGAGGCATGGCGAGTTTTTTGAAGTCGTATTTTTTTGTCATAATTTTTCGGAAAATTAAAAATAATAAAATTATTTTCACTATTTCTTTTTACATACTGTCACCAGTGCAGTACAGCGTCATCATAAAACTGGCATGGCGGTGATCAGGGACACTGACATTATGAAAAAAAAAAAATAGAATTTTTTTACTTTTTTAAAGATTTTTTTTTCATATTTTACTATGACCAAAGTAGTACAATGTTACCATAGTAACATTATACTACTTTGGGGAAGTGATCAGTATTTTTTTTTTTTTACACAATTTGCTTATAGCAAAGAATTACTTTGCTATAAGCAAGCATTTACCTGAATGACAGCGATTCATTCAAGGTTTTTTTTTTTTTTTTTTTTTTGTGCTTAGCTGTGATTTGGCCACAGCTAATCACATGACATGTGCATATGATCGCTGTGACCATTCACAGCTAGACACTAGTATACAATGGATGGCATGAATGAAGCCATCCATTGTATACAACTGTCATCTGACCTGCTTTGATTGGTCACAGCAGGTCACATGGTACCAGCAACGGGGGCCGGTACTCAGATCTGTCATCGGCCGTGTCCGAGGTACACGGCCGGTGACAGATCGCGCCTCTGCACGGCTCCGTAAGCGTGAAAACTGCGCATGCCCGGGAGGACGCCATTTGGCATCCACCCCGAAAATCTACAGCATTATACCGGCCGCCAAACGGCTATTGGCCGGGCGTCTTTTGGTTAAAGAGTGCTGATTTCAAAACAAATGAAGACTATTTAGTATTTCTTACATGTCTCCTTCATAGGCCCCTAATTATGGCCAACATTGAATACATGACATTGAAACATGGAACTGAAATATTTTCCGACATTTAATAATTAGTTCTATGCACCTTCTTTTATGCTTGATGTGTATGTTTTGCATCTACACATACTTTTTGAAATACATTTAAATAAAGCTTTTATTACTATACAGTGTGAATTTTACATATAAATATGCAAATTGACATACTGTTCTATATAGAACAAATTGTATGAAAAGAATCAATCATGTGCAATCATATCATTTATAAGCAGAGGGAACCCGTAAACATAGAAAGGATTCTATTGCTGTCTAAAATTAGAATGTTTTGCTACTGTATGTGACTATTTCATATATACAGTAATTAGTACACGGTTTACCTTTTTTGATTTAGGCTTTGTAAGGCAGAGCATAAGTTCTAAACAAACTCCCACCTATTTATAATAATGCAGCAAAATGTTAAAGAAAACTTCAGGCATATTGCTAAATATACAGCTGAAATACATGTACCGTATGTAAATTGTTTTACTTGTAATTCTCTTTAGTCAGTCTTGAGATTCACACTACATGGCCTGCTTTTTGACATTAATGTTTCCTGGTTTAAATTTGCACATTCCTGTGTTACATCCATACTTTACTGGCCAATAAATACCTGAAATAAATAAATAAAATAAATATTGTTATATTGCTGATTTAGAGTTTAGTGAGTATTTAGATGACAATTAAAAAAAAACAGTTCCACTTCACCTCTACATAAATACAGTTAAATAAATTAACTGTACATTGTATTTATTTTTAATAATGTCAGCAGCACTAAAATTCTTTCACTTTCACCCACATACACAATTTTCCTTTTTCCTTAAATATATATATTATATTATATTATATTGTATTATAGAGTCGTTTCTAAGAAGTTTACAAATGGATTTGGGTGCAATTGACCTTAAAATGTTACTTCCAATTTACTAACCTCCATTAGACAACCAATTTATTGAGTATTCTATTGTTTTTGTTTCTTAGGTATTGTGTTTGCATCTTATGGCCCCATATGGAGACAGCAAAGACGATTTTCTCATTCAACTTTGAGGCACTTTGGGCTGGGAAAACAAAGTCTGGAACCCATAATCATTGAAGAATTCAAATATGTGAAGGAAGAAATGTTGAAATTTGGTGATAAAAGCTTCAGTCCATTTCAAATTATCAATAATGCTGTTTCCAATGTTATCTGTTCTATCAGTTTTGGTAAACGTTTCAACTATGAGGATAAAGAGTTTAAGACCATGTTGAATCTCATGTCACGTGGCCTTGAAATCAGTTTAAACAGTGAAGTTGTCTTGGCTAATGTGTTCTCTTGGATGTACTACCTACCTTTTGGACCCTTCAGGGAGCTCAGACAAATTGTGATAGATATCACAGCCTTTCTGAAAAGGATAATTGAAGAACATAAGGTTTCCTTAGATCCTGAGAATCCCCGAGATTTCATTGATATGTATCTTCTTCATATAGATGAAGAGAAGAGGACTCAGCTTGAGACCAGCTTTGACACAGAATATTTGTTCTACATTGTTGGTGATCTGTTCATTGCTGGAACCGATACCACCACAAATACATTACTGTGGTCTATCTTATATATGTGTCAGCATCCAGATAAGCAAGGTAAGTCAACTGATGAATAATGTATCTAGTGCAAATCATGCCGAATGTTTAAACCTGTGACGTTGTATATCCCCAATAATGTATGGCTGAAAAAAATTGTGTAAATGTTGAAATTGCATGTGTGATGCAGTACGAATATTCTTTAAAAAGCTGGAAAAATACATTAAAGTTAGTAACCACTAATGGATAATGGATAAAGTCTAAATCTTCTGAATAGATAAGTTAAGAATATAGTAAAACAAGGATGTGGAATTTCAGTGGGTATGAGCTGAAACCCAAATTTGAGCTTTTCACAAGGCTCTGGTTTATGTGTATTAAAATGTAATTGATGGTTGGGGTAGTTGCGCGAGACACATAAACAATAGACAAATATTGTACAGAAAAATATATGTGAATACTTTTTGTCTTTGCACAAGACAATGCAATGTTATCATTGGAAACTTAAAGAAACCAAGTCACAAACTTAAAATACAGGCAAAAGCTTAGAACCATACGTTTTTATGTTCAATAAATGTGTTTTTTTACTTTTGAACGTGCTAACATGAAATATATGAAAGGCAAGTATAGTTTTATGGGAACATTTTCCAATCAATTTTTTGTAACACCATATTTCACCTGAATTGAGGGATACTTATTGGAGTTGATTTACTAAAAGAGAAGAGAATTTCCAGTTTATACAGTGAGTGTTCCCTTTGCTTAGTGAATAGGGTAAAGCTGCATTTACCTCCATATTTTTGCATACAGTAGTTTCATTGGGCCAGTCTGTGCCACACCTGGCCAATACACATGGACCATGGAATTCAGTGTAGTAGGCACTACTACAGTGATTGGCGCTGGCTTCCGGGTCCCAAATGGGCAAGGTGGAGACTGTAAAATCACCGACCCGCCTCTCATCACCCTGAGTTCATTAAGCAGGAGAACAGTCACTCAAAGAGGGACTTAGAAGCCAGCGGTAATCACTGTAGTTACTGTGCTAGCTACAGTAAATGAATATAATGATCAGTGGAGCTCTACAATATATGATGAAATCACAAAAATATATGTAAAATGAATCCATTCATCTTCATTAGAATGATTCCATCCTTCTGTTACCACCAAGTGCTCTAAAACATATATGTGCAATTATTCCACCACCAGATGTCTGCTCACCTCCAGCAGTATGACCTCACATAATACTATGTTTGGTCTAACTGCACTTTTGGTCCCAGTATGATAATGTATATCAACTTTACAGGTCCCAGCTATCATTCACAACTGGTCTGGAATTTAAACTTTAAAAACCTTAATATCTCAAAGTAAATGAATTGCACACATATAAAGGGTGCCCAATCGCACCAAGTACAATCAGCCTCTGTTATTATAGATAAAACTGAGATTCATGGACCTGTGCCGTGGAAAGTCAGCTATGATTGAGCTTATGCAGTGGGTAAAACACAATGATTACTGTAATGTCAATCAATCATGAACACCGCTACTGCTGCTACCATCGCTGGCTCTGTGGAGCATTGTGATGTCATCCAAAGCCCCCAAAGCACTGATTGCTGTTTATTTATTGGCTATTCCTGATATAAGATAAGGTTTGGGAGCACTAGCGGCTATTTATTTTGGAAAAACAAACTAATTTAGGTTATATTATATATTTTACACAGAGGTGATTTATGAGAAGGGTAATTGTTATCCATAGAAGCACACAAGATCATAATATTATTTTGTTTTACAAATGCTAGCTACAGTGATTTCCAGATTTCAAGGGGATCGGCCAGATATGAGACATGCATTGCTTAGGATGCCACCTGACTGCAGTATGCAAACAGATACATAATGATATATATTCATTCCTCGTAGGCCACTTCTCACATGTCACCTCAACTGAACCATTGTAACAAAACCATACTACATCCATATGCATAGTACAGTTGTCTTTGAACCTTGCATTAAGAGTGTCTCATTTCAACACAGTTTGCAGTTTAAGCTTCTTCAGGAACCCAAAAGGTATTTTCCATATAATTTTACCATGCATCTGGCTAGTGTTGCAACCCAAAGGTTAGAGGTAGACAAAAGAGCTGATATCTGTATTGGCAGCAATGGGAAGACCTGAGGCTTTTAGTGAACTAAGTAATCATAACCTCCAATACAAAGGTGTCTGAAAAGTTTGTAAGTGTCTCAGTGTCCTCAGGCCCTTATACATAAACTGAACTGCTCTCTAGTAATCCATAGATAGCAGCTGTGAAAACCCCCTTTACTTATTCCAATTTAGCTTCCTTCATCCCCCTTTAACACTACTTTGGCTGGAATTATTTACTTTTTCTATTGGTTGACCGCATCCAATGAAAAAAAAAATAGCTCTAGACAATTAGAAAAAGAGGGATAGTGCCATTGCATGCAGACAGGCTATGCAAGAATCGACTATACCTTCTAGTTTTCACAGCTTCTAAATAGGGATAACCAGAGAGCAGTGACATGAGAATAAGACAAAAAAAAGCTTCTAACAGCCTCTATAAGCAGGTATTGATGGGATACCAAGAGGAATGGCATGGTTCAGATTACAGGTTGCATTTTCCACCATTGCTTATCGCTGGAATACTTTGAATAAAGTACCATTTTTGTTAACATGAAATATTTGGGAAATACTGAAAATAATAATTATATGAAATATTATTTCCAGTACTCAGCATTTGTTTTTGTCCTGTAAGTGCTTGATACAGGCACAAAGTACTCATGTTGTCCTGAAAAAGCTTCTTTTTTGACCCAAATAACAGGTCAAATAGATAATGTTGTTTACCTGGAATATAAAATCAACATGAATACTGTAGGGAGCAAAGTATAATAATCTTAAAAAACACACTGTGATAGCAATCAGTGCTTATAGGGTAATCACAAGTTGCATTTCTGAATGACTGGACTGTGATTCCTCAGAAATGAATTAACCTTTTCATGCATGGCTGTGGTATGCTGCCTAAATAGAGTATTTTTTTCTACATTACCAATGATGTCAGGATCAGGATTGTATATGCCTTATTAAAAAAATATGTGATCCAAGCAAGGACATGACAGAGGATCTTGGAGAAGACTTAATCACTAGACATCATAAATTTAATGATGGCGATGCAACCTGCTAATATCTACTCAAAGTCAAACGTAGAACACTAATCCTTCATTTGTCATGATTAGTAGATCAAGTTTAAACTGGTCTATTAGTAGGCAGCACTGGATCTATGAGGAGATCCATCTTGAAACCCTGGGAAAGAATTCTTCAAGTGGATCTGTGTCCTGAATAATTATAGCTATGAATATACTGTATACCAGCCTTTCTGTACCTTTTCAACATAGAAGAACCCTTAAAATGTATTTTCAGTCTCAGGGAACCCCTTCTAAAAATTATTGTATGTACAACTCATGATATCTTAGTGTGATGGTCAGTGGGAAGAATGCTCCTTACATGTGGTCACTGGAAGAATTACCCCATTATAGATAGCCTAAAATATTAATGATGTCAGAAGAAACTTATTTCAGAGGCACAAATTGTTAATTGTTCAAGAAACCCCTAGCAATCTCCGGAGGAGCCCTAAAGTTCCATGGAACCCTGGTTGAGAAACACTGCTGTATACATTAAAGTGTAAGGACACTTTAAATTAGCAATTTTTTTTAAGTTTCCGTGCCTTACCAACCCCTTCCACTGTGTTAATCTAACCCACGCTTTCTCCTCAGCTGAATACATAACAATTTCTGCCATTAGGTCTTCTGGTGTTCCACCGCTACGTTTACATGGGGCCAGTCTTCCTGTTCTTCTGCTGTCTGCCCATGTGCAGTAGAAGCCCATTAACTTTTATGGGGCAAGGAGATAAATCCTGTTTCCCTGCCTATAGAAGTGAATGAATGAATAGGGATCTAATGTTCACATGCTGACAGCAGAAATAGAGAAAGGATGAACACATGTAAACATTGAAGTGGAACCCCAGTGGACCCACTGACAGAGTTCTTCATGTAGGCACGTATTTAGATGAAGAGGGTGTCCTGGATTAGCATAGTGGGGAGGCAGGCTGATGTTATTTTGTTGAAATTTTACTTACACTTTAGGTTTTAGTCCATGTAAGAACTACTTTCCCAAAAAGGTCAGTGGGAAAGCAAAACAACATTAAACAGATTGGGCTCAGATGGTGCAGGTCAGAAGAAAATCAAATGTACCTTGAACTGTGAATGATTTTAGAAGCTTCACAAACCGACCTCAAATGCAAGCTGAGTGACCTGAAAACAAGCTGCATTTGCACTTTGACCCAAGCCTTATTAATCCTCTATTTTTTCCTGACAGAAAAAGTCCAGGCTGAAATTGATGCAGTTATAGGACAAGACCGGCCTCCATCACTTACTGACAAGATTTCAATGCCGTTCACAGAAGCCACTATTATGGAAATACAGAGGATGACTGTGGTTGTCCCTTTGTCTGTACCACACATGGCTTCTGAAAAGTACAGGTAAATAATTAGCACTATATAAAAGCAAAAAAAAAAAAACGTTTGCGCTAGATGCGTGATACTAAATAAAAATCAAACAATAAATAATAAATGGATTAAATATAAATAGCAATAAACAATGCTGCCACTTCTAATATAATCAATATGACCAACAAAGGAATCCTCAAAGTGATTCAGTAGCACAAGAAATCTATAAATATGTGAATAAATAAATAAGTGATCATTCAGCATAAGTGAACAATCAAAAGTCCATAAAATATCTCTTCCACCAAACAAATCTTGTAATTCCCAAAAAGAAATTATCACGTGCAAAAAGATGGCGTCCCCCCTTTCGGGTATGCATTCACCGAATAGCCATGCCCCCATTCTCATGGTTGGCTGGCAGGGTTGGCGGTAGTGAGAGCACTGCTTGATACCCACCAGTGTTTTGCATCACACTGCAGTACCTATGGGCTTTTTATTTGCCAACATTTTGTAAGAGGATGTCTATTTATAACGATTAAAGGTGTTATTTCGTACTGCACCATTGGGGTATTTCTTTTTTGTTTCTACATGACCACTAATCCTGAGAGAGAAAGATTAAGGAGAAGGAGAGTGTTATCTATGTTGCCATAAACTCCTCATTATTAGGAATCTGTTAATCTGTGGAGTGGTGTCAGCTGATCATGGAAATGATAGGCGTGGAGATTGGAGGATAATCAGAGAGGAGTGAAACAATATCGATACTGGTTGACTTCCTTCCCACCTTGATTTATTTAATAAGCGATTCCAGCCAACCATGAGAATGGGGGGCATGGCTATTCAGTGAGTGCATACCTGAAAGGGGGAACGCCATCTTTTTGCACATGGTGATATATCTTTTTGGGAATTACAAGATTTGTTTGGTGGAAGAGACATTTTATGAACTTTTGATTGTTCACTTATGCTGAGCGATCACTTTTTTATTTATTTATTCACATATTTACAGATTTCTTCCGCTACTGAATCACTTTGTCACTGTCAATAAAACAGAGTAAAAAAGAACTGTTTGGATTATTTGTTTGTAGTAAATATCTGTAAGGCTATGTGCACCCTGATGTTTTCTACAATGTTTCTTTACTTGTCTGAGTTTGAAGAAATATCTTGATCTACATGGTTCCAGTGAAGACAAAAGCTTTGTTGCAAAGAAAAAAAAATGCCCCATTTTGCCTGAATTCATTCAGTGTTTACATATGTATACAAGGGAGGAGAGATGTGGCAGATAATATGCACTGGGGCTAATTTACTGAAGGCTAATTTACACTGTTCATTGCAAGTGAAGTTGCACTATGCAAGGGAAATTTTTCCCAGAGTTGTTGATGTTTAGATGTAGTTGAATGTGGAGAACTTTCACTTTTCAAAAAATACCCCATCACATGCAAGGAAAATAAAAAAAAAAACATTTTTGCTTGCATGTGATTGGATGGTGGAAGTCAGCAGAGTTTCACCTCATTCACTAAGATCTGGGGATCTTTCCCATGCAGAGTGCAACTGTACTTGCAAAGTGAACAGTCTGGTTAACCATTAGTAAATCAACCCTAATGCACCAAGCACTGGAGACAGAGGGGTTGCTTTACTAAAGGCCAATAGGTTGTCTACTTTGCATGTGCATTTGCATTCTACATGAGTATTATCCCCAGAGCTTAGTGAGTGAGGTGAAGCTCTGCTGACTTCTATCATCCAATCATGTGCAAGCAAAAATGTGTTTTTTTTTTAATTTTCCTTGCATGTGATTGGGTATTTTTTTTTATCACATTTACTTAGTGCTGGGAAAAATTCCATTGCAGAACACCACTTAACTTATAAAGTGAACAACCTATTGGCCTATTGGAATCAAGCCCAAATAAATTCTGCAGTGTTCAGCCTTGCTCTGGCTTTACTTTGCAGCTATTAAGTAGTGTAATGTAGCCATTACTTCCTGTTCATTTCCAAGCGCATACACACATCACAAACTGCAGCTGTTTAAAGGAAAACTAGGCTAGATCAAAAATATGCATATGGATTCGGAGTTTGCAGCATTGTTCCTTGTATCATTCTCTGCCAGGTACCCAAAATCGTTTCTTTTAGAGGTGAAATTGATTATGCCTAAAAAAGTGCCTTATGGTAGCAACAGTGCAGAATCCTCTTGCTCTTTCTAAATACCCATATTAGTCTTCAAATCGAATCATGCGGCAGTCTACCAGTGGGGGGCCTAATTTTGGCTTGAAGTTAACTCTAAGTCCCATGTAGATCCTAGATTTATGATTCAAGGGGCTTCACAATGACGAAGTATGTGGACCAGTATGTGGACCAGTATGGGTACTTGCAGGCATCAAAAAATGTCTTTACTACTGCATTAATGTTATCTTAAAGTGCATAACCAGTGTGTGTTTGATAGAATAAGGAAGGCTTAGAACCTCTGGCTGCTTTTTACTTTTGCTCATGCTTCAAAACATTGAGGAGAATTGCCCTAACTCTCTGTTATGTCACAGTCTGCCTTTATTTTGTAGATTTGCCTTGGTGGTTACATGTCCACCAGGGTTTTCTTTCATGTAATCTAAATGCTGTAAATTATTTTTTCTTTCTTAAATACCATGTTAGAAATTGCATCCTGGCTTCAGGTCTAACAGCTGCTGTATATAAACATTTTAGCAAGCATTTAATGGTATTAATTCAACCCATGTGACTTCTATAGGAGAGGGAAAAAATCATTAAATGGACATATTTGGTAAATGGGAAACACTAATCCATTTTCATTCACCTCACCATTGAGCAAACTCAACAAGCTTTTTTTTTAGTTTCTTAATTTCAGTAGTTTCGACCAGGTATCACATTGAATAAGGATCTTCATTGTTAAAAAATGGATAGGGATCATTTTATTCTGATAATTCCATTTATAAGATTGTTTTAAATCTAAGACTGATAGCTGTAGTACATTTGAACATCACATGTTTATTCTAAATGTTTCCATCTGAATTTGATTGTACTAAAATAAATTCATGTGTTTTTTTGTTGTCTTGCTTTTTGTTTGCAGTGTTCCAAGGCTACACCATTCCTAAAGGCAGTGTGGTTCTGGCCAATCTCTGGGCTGTACACCGAGATCCAAAGGTCTGGGAAAAGCCAAATGATTTCAACCCAAGCAGATTTTTAGATGAGCATGGACAAATTCTTAAGAAGGAAGCCTTTATTCCTTTTGGCATTGGTAATGACTCTTGTTATTCTCTATAAAACGTATATGTAAATCCAGTCACTAAACTCTCATATCATAAGCTTTAACAACAATCAATTATTTCCAATAATTTTAAATCTGCCGCATTTATTAAAATAGTACCTGGTAATCCCACCTCACTTTGTCCCTGTCATGCTGTCACATGGGCTACTCTAGAGAATACAAGTGTCCATTTTTAACACACATTATGTAGACATGGTCAATTGTTATCATTTGGTAACCAACCCTGGGAAATGCCATGCAGCCACTGGTGGAATGAGTGCATGTAGATAGGAAGTGACTTTCAAGAGACCAACTCCACTAACATGCAACAATGGATGAAAAGAAGATGAAACACATATTTTTAGAAATAAAATGAGAATTGTTATGATGCACTATATTTTAGTACGCTATCGGTCATTAAGTTAGAGTTTACATTCGTGCTTTAACCTTGTCCATTGAATGTGATTCTGGCCATACATGGATCAAATTTAAGCTGGTTCCTAGTAAATTGTCCAAAATTTGACACATGGGTGGCCATATCTACAGTCTCCCACCCAACCTCCTTTGATCTGAAATTTGAAGGAGCTGGGCAGAAAATTTTGAACAACGGCTCCATCTAGACAGATGCTGCCAATGTTCAGGTATTCTGACAGCTTCAAATACAGTATATGTTATTAAATGTAGCCATTTTTGATCATTTGTAATTATTATTCCGACAAGAATATTAATGGAATGGAAATACTAATAATTTACCTTTTCTGTAACCAGGTCGAAGGGTCTGCATGGGGGGAACAACTGGCCAAGATGGAGCTCTTTCTTATGTTTGTCAGTCTTCTGCAGTCTTTCAGTTTTTCATTCGCTAATGACACGTTTAAGCCTATGATGGAAGGACGGTTTGGCCTAACACTTGCTCCTTTCCCATTTGACATAAAGATACAAAAAAGATAACCAAGTTCTATAAATCAAGCGTTTGTTACCAGAGATGTATAGATATTGTCATTCAAATGTCCCACATATTTCAATGTTTTTTTTTATTGGACCAGGGGTAAAAATACAGCAGTGAGACAAAAAAAGTATTAGTTGTTTAGTATTGTATCATATTTCACTGAAATGTATATGACTGGTATAGCTTTTATTGAAATCACTGGGTATAGTTCAATGCAACTGAATCAGGCCTAGGTTCCATTATCAAGTTATTAAAAGTGCTGATTGATATGGGCAGAACTTTATTATAACATTTTATTAAAGCTCATTCGCATCAGCTTGCTTCACTGAAACGCATGTGTAATATGTTGGTGCGATACGTTGCTGTTCATTCTGAATAACACCCCGACTAATGTGCGTTGCTGTTTACTGCCATAAAATGGTGCATGCACTGTGCTGCAACGTATGGAACATTGTACTTTCATGGCCTATCAAAAGAATTGGAGATATGTTTAAAAATAAGAAAAGCATTAGACTTTCACATTAGAGTTTCTCAAGAAATTATTATCTTCAGTCTTTGACAAATGCATTGTAAGGTGACTTTCTGTATATCACAATATATTACAGATACTAAAAGGGTTCAATTATATCCAAAGCCAAAATAACTTTTCACTTTGAAAAGCGTAGGGAAAGGTTAAAACCACTATCAGTTTTCTTTGTGTCACATTACGGAGATTTCCCTTCACGTCCTTTCCTGTAAGCTCAGCAGGAAGTGAGAGGATACTTTTCCAATGTGAGGAATTTTCCTATTTAACAGTTGTCAGAGATACAGTTATCCCATTGGAAGATTTCCCCTCCAGTCCTGTTCAACTTAAAATTTTTCCTTTACCCTCACTTTCATTCTCAGAGACATTGGTCATTAGGACAATCAAAGACAGTAAATCTCCCTAATGGGGACACAGTTAGTAATAGAATCCTGACAGTGGTTCTAACCCAGCATCATTCTATCAAAATCTAAAAAAATGTTTTGTTTATATTACTTTGCTAGCAAAGCAAAATAATACACCATAAAAAATAGCTTTTTCATGCCACGCGTAAAGAGCTCTGGATGGCCCTGTAAGCAAAACCCAGCTCAACATCTATCATTTTTATCATCCTAGTGATGTGGATGGCCCTGCAAGCAGCATCTGCCTTGACAAAATTTGATTTAAAAATTAAAGTGGTACTAAACCCAGGACCCTGCATTCACTATATATGGTCCCCCACAGTGCACATAACATGGAAGTGTAATTATTTTAGTAAATCTAAACTGCTAAATATCTTTTCTCATTAGCAGTTACAGCAGTCTTGTGACTTCTATCAGTGTTCAACAGAACACTGGTTAAAGCTTATAGGAGGAGTTTTCTTTCTGTTCTAGGAGGATGCAGAACCCCTGACCTCTGTCTGGACAATGCTGATTGGCCCTGTGCTGATCACATGCACTCTCCCAAGAGAAAAAAAAAAACTCTCTAGCGATACACACCAAACTGAGCATGTGCAGAGTGACTCCACATGATATGTCTTATCAGGATATCAGAAGGGGAGGATCAGAGAAGTCAGGATCAAAAAGCATTTTTACACAATGCAGAGAACTAACCCCTTAGGTTCCACAGTGAGTATAACAAGCATGCTTTACTGCATATACAGACTAATTTTACTGTTGTGGGTTTAGTAACACTTTAACTGAGCTGTGTTGAAAATTATTGACCAAACAGTGACTGCATCTTATCAGATACATTCACTGTTTGGGTGTTATGGCAGCTGCAAGTGGCTGTGGCTGGCTAAATACAATAGCCAGAAGTGGAGATTCCCTCATACAGCCTGGATGGAGGAATTCTATTGATTTTCTGCCTGTGGACTGAATAAGAAAAGCAAGCCGTGTTTGGCACGTTTTTGAAGCACTGCAGATAAACAGCTATTATGCTCAAGGGACAGTAATCACACTGCTAATTTTTCTGGAGGAATTCAAGACAAAAAGGTAACCTTTCAGGAATTCAGATACTGCTTATGCACAAATAAAGTCGAAGTCAAAACCTAACAAAGCTTAAATCTACTCCCAACCCTATTCTAAGCCTATTCTATCTACCTTGTAGAAGGAAAGATACTTACCTAACTGAAACTGCTCCGGTCTGGTCACATGATCTCTCTGGCGTGGATTTCAGTGAATAAGAGAGACCACCGACAACAGCTGCAGAGCCTGGGTGGTAATGTCACCCATAGGCATACTATGGGGCATCTGATGGGACCTGATCATGTGACCCAGACCAGAGTGACTTCAGAATAGGTATAGTAAGTATAGACATCTTTCCTTTTTTCAAGGTAGATAGAATCGGCTTAGAATGGGGATGGGAGTAGATTTAAGGTTAGTCAGGTTTTGACTTGCCTTCCACTTTAACATTCCTAGATGTTGCATATATAATAGCAAATTCTCACTTTTAGCCTGGGGTCACACTTCTGCGGTGCGGCATATCGCATGTGATTCGCACAGGAACCACACCACATTCCTGTGCAAGCACATGCGAATTCTGTGCAGTGCGATTTGAGCTGTACATTTTGTATGGCTCAGATCGCACCACATTCGCACCAAAAAGGTGCAGGACCCTTTTTTTTTTGGTCCGCACTAGAATCGTATCACATGGGTATTCACACCCATGCGATCCAGTTCTGAACATCGCACCACATTTTGCGAACCGATTTCGGTGTGTTGTTAACTTAACATACACACACGCAGTGGTTCGCATGAACGGGTTGCGATTGTGATGTGGTGCAGAATTCACACAGAAACCAGTGCGAATTCTACACCGCATCAGTGTGAGCCCAGGCTTAGTGTGAAAATCGTAAGCTTAGAGCTCAACTTTAAAACTCTATAACAGAACATGGTATATGGTCTCCTAGATTGTAAGCTCCAAGGATCAGGGCCCTCCTATCCCTCTTGTATTGAACTGTATTGTTGCTGTATTGTCTCCCGTTATATTGTAAAGCGCTGAGCAAACTGTTGGCGCTATATAAATCCTGTATAATAATATAATAATGGTATGGTGATGGCACTGCTGAATTTTGTGTTGATATATAGTATCTTTTGAGGATATTGATATTTACAGTATTCCCTTACTACTGCTTTCAGTCTCCTGATCTGATCTTACTCTCGATTCACATCTGTGCGGGTGGTGCAGCTGCGGGGCCCGCACAAATACCTGCAGCCGCAGCACCCACACAGAGGGATGCAGGGCCCGTAGGTAGGTGCCATTAATTCTAATGGAACGCCGCCTGCACTGGAAATCACAACCGTACTGGGAACCTTGGTTCTCATGCGAGCTACGATTTCCAAAGTAGTCAAAATGGATGGGCTCTTGTGCCCGCGCAAATCGTGGCCCGCAAGACCGCATAGATGTGAACCAGGGCTTAAGGCCTCTTGCACATTGAAGCTTGAAAAAGCTCAGTACGGCATTTTTTATTTTTTACTGAGGTAAATTGTAGTCCATTATTTACAATGTGCTTTTGCACACAGGCGCATAAAGAAGTGCCGTGTATTCTTGAGTTAAAAATAAAAAAAAAGGAAACTCTGTATTTTTGGTCTGTATTTTTTATGCTGCATTTGCACGCAAATACATACAAATACACACAAATATTTGCAATTGAGCATAAATATTAATTAATTTTCCCTAAAAATCTATTGTGCCCTAAAACAGCAGATGCTCAAACATTAGTACCTTGTGCAAGAGACCTAATAGGGCCCATCATGCATCAGGATAATCAGTCCAGCCCAAACTAGCTTTGCAAAAAAAAAAAGATTAAAATACAATTTGCAGTTTACTAATGAGCTTTTCAGAAAAGAATGTTCTGTTATAAAAAGGTGATATATTATCAAGGACAATTTTGCTCAACTTATGAAAAATAAAAAAGCTTAGCTGAATTTGACGAAATGCTAATGTCTGTGCTTGTGATCCAGCAACATCTGCATGTAAAACACAGTACAGTACATCTAAAAACTTTTAAGACACCATATACATTTGTCATACAACATAGATTCTGACAACTGGAGTAAACAAAATGCAGGTGTTATGTCAGTGCATTTGTAGTACATTGCAACACAGGGTGGTGGACAGCACTGTATAGGTAGGCACAGGCATATTGGGGTGTTTGCTGTACCACTGCACTGTTACTTTGTTGTCTATGGTGATAACAGAGGTTGTTATAAAAAATCTAGAGTGTTTTCGCTACGAAAGCATGTTGTATCATTTTCATTGCTGCATTATGCTAAAAGTAATTTTGATGTGACTTATACATTTTTTACATGCTTACTGCTTGTTCATGATTGTATATTAGACTCAGATATGTAGCGTTGAGTTTTTTGACATGCTTCTCCTTTTAGGACCTATCTGAATAGCGGACAGTGTATTTACCACCCCTGCAAAACAGACGCAAAGAACATTGTTATTTCTAATCAGTCTGGGTAGATTGATAGACTTAGGCTAGCCATGCATGCCTCTCAGCAGACTGAACAAGAGGAGTCAATAGGATTGATCATATCTGATAAGATGCAGTCACTTTTTGGGCCAACAATTTTTCACCCAGCACCTGCAATTTTTCAATCAACGTTTGTTAAGGCGGGTGATTCAGTAGGGATTTACAGTGTGTCACCATAGGAAACCACTTCCTATTGTGGCACACCTATGTGGGCTCGATCCTGAGCACTGCTGCCTGTGTCTATAGAAACAGACAGCAAGGCTCAGCCCTGCCCCCCACTCTCTCCTCACAGCCTGAGATTGACAGCAGTGGGAGCCAGTGAGGAGAGAGTGACAGCAGCTCTCCAGCTCTATGGCAAAGTGCTGGATTGAGGTTGGGTTCAGGTAAGTATTTAGGTGGGGCTGGAAGGGGGGGGGAGAAAACATGAATGTTTTTTCACCTTAAAGTGGAGTTCTGGCCCCCTCTCACAGAGAGATTAAAAGTCAGCAGCTACAAATACTGTGGCTGCTGACTTTTAA